TGATCTAAAATCATATTCAATGATACATAGATAGTTAATGAACATTACCAATAGTCAAAGGAGAAGAAAAGAGACTCAGAGAATAGGAAGGAGAGCTTGTTTTAGTTGCCATTGATCAAAGAACAAGCTAACCAGATGCAAACTTTGCAAAGGAATGACAAGGGAGGGGCTCATTTTGGGCGGGGCAATAATTGTTATTTTAAAACCATAGATAGTAGAGTAAATGAAAGGGATAGGAAACTTCCGTTCCCGGGAAATCAAGCTATTTACCCTAGAAAGCGGAGGAATCCGGATACTAGTATACTCTAGCTGTTATTTTCCATCGCCACAATGGGCGACTAGCCTGACTAGGCCTTAATTCGTCCCTTGTAATAGCAAAAGTATGCTTCACAAAGACAAGATAATGGGCGGAAGACCCAGAATAACTCATCTAGATTTTGTATCTGAAGCCTCTTTAGTCATTACTCGTTCAAGCAGTGAGATAATGGTACCCAACTAAATACGGAAAGTTTACTTGTTTTTGAGCATAAAATGTCGAGAAAACAAGCTTTTGGAATTATTAAAGTTGGAAGACCTAAAGAAAAGAATTCTTTAATAGGGGCTTGCTTTAAATCTTTCATTTATAATATTGCTTTTGAGATAATGGGGACCAAAGAGCAAACTAGTACTTTTTTAACTTTTAATCGCTAATAAATGCAATAGAAGAGCGTAAATCTTGCTATTTTTGGCTACAGCATGATAGTGGTATAACAGCTGATTTCTTTGAAGTATCATATGGCACTGCAATCACTACTATGCAAGTGCTATAGGTGAGAATCAGTGCTGCAGAGATGGAGAGAGCCAGGGGTAACTAGCTTAAGTTGCTAGGCAACCTAATAATTTCAATGGAATAATCCACCCACGCAACGGAAGTTTCCTATCCCTTTCATTTACTCTATTATCTATGTTTAAAACCCTCAATATGGCGGCATTGAAGAAGACAGATCATGATGGACTCTTCATATACAGGGAAGAGAGAAAATTGATGATGATAATGATGGAGTTACTAATGACAGAAAAAAACAGATGAGGTAGTTTAAATGTACCTGTACATGTATACTAGTACATGAATTTTAGTAAAATTGTGAATTACTGCATAATTATGAATTTGTGACCATTGCCATTTAGCATTTAGCATAATGATCCTATTATATATTTATTTATTTATTTATTCATCTATTTAACATGTTGACAGAATGTGATGGTGGATTATTATCAGTTAGTAGTATATTTATACTTTATTGTTCTCATCTCTCTCCTCCTATCCTTTCTTTCATTTTTTGTCTTGTAGGAGCTTGTAGCTTTAAAAGACTCTCATGTATTTAATGTAAGTAATGTAATGTAATGCTCCTATATCAACCCAAAAAAGAAAGTTTTAGCTGATTCTGACTTCAATTTTTCAAGTTACGGCCATTTTAATAAAATGCCAAATTTCTGATAAATACTCAAGGCTATAGCCCATGGTTTTTTCTGAAAAATGGCTCTGAAATCAACCCAAATTTTTATTACATTTTAAAATACATATTGATGTTCTTATGCTGTGTAGAAAGTTTAAGCTGATTCTGTCTTCAATTTTGTAAGTTTCGGCCATTAAAAAAAATTTCATGCCGACATTCTGAAAAATTGTAACATTATTATTGTATATTGTATTGTGTTCTAACTACTTTTCATTTAATTGTATTTATAGGCTTACGTTTACAAGTATTTCATCTCCTGCTACTCGCAATGCTTCTTCTTCTTCTTCAGCTGCTGCTCCTGTTATTAATACTCCAAGGAACCTGTCAGTTACTGCTTCTCCTAATGAAACACTCTCAAGGTCTAGGAAGAAGCGTAAGAAGATTACCAATTCAACTGGACCTCATAAACAACCAGCAAGACAGAGTAAGTCAGTATAACTAAGGTTGATTTAGTATTGTAAGTGTAGAAATTTTGAGCAGTAGTAGTTTTTGTCTTAGATAGAGCTGATAATTTTGGAGGGAGGGATTTATTGAATTTTGTGTTTTTTATGGCCCACTATTTCTGTAGATGAC